CCCACAGGGCACCAATAGACACCCATGGGGCACCCACTGACACCCACAGGACACCCATGGACACCCATGGGGCACCCACCAACACCCACAGGGCACCCATGGACACCGATGGGGCACCCACCAACACCTACAGGGCACCCATAGACACCAATGGGGCACCCACTGACACCCACAGACACCCACGGGGCACCCACCAACACGCACAGGGCACCCATGGACACCCATGGGGCACCCATCAACACCCACAGGCAGGGCACCCATGGACACCTATGGGGCACCCACCAATACCCACAGGGCACCCATAGAAACCCATAGACACCCATGGGGCACCCACCGACACCCATGGGGCACCCATAGACAGCCATAGACACCCATGAAGCACCCACCGACACCCACAGGGCACCCATAGACACCCACGGACACCCATGGGGCACCCACCAACACCCACAGGGCACCCATAGACACCCATGGGGCACCCACCAACACCCACAGGGCACCCATAGACACCCATGGGGCACCCACCAACACCCACAGGGCACCCATAGACACCCATGGGGCACCCACCAACACCCACAGGGCACCCATAGACACCCAGGGGGCACCCATGGACACCCATGGGGCACCCACCAACACCCACAAGGCACCCATAGACACCCATAGGGCACCCACGGACACCCACAGGGCACCCATAGACACCCACGGACACCCACAGGGCACCCATAGACACCCATGGGGCACCCACCGACACCCATGGGGCACCCACCAACACCCACAGGGCACCCATGGCCGTCCCAGAGCACCCCAAGGGGTCCCAGGGCCTCCGTGGGGTGGGGGGGGGGGGTTCTGGGTCCCCATAGGGTTCGCTGTGTGTGTGTGGGGGGTGCAGTTCCCTCACCGGCCGCGCGGGGGCGCCCCTCAAGCGGAAGCGCAGGCTGAGGCTCACGCGCTGCTGCCGCTCCAGCGCCCCCATGGGGCAGCTCAGGAGAAAGCACTCGGCCTCGGGGCAGCCCTGGGGGGCAATGGGGGGCAATGGGGGGTAATGGGGGGGCAATGGGGGGCAAGGGGGGGTAATGAGAGAGGACAATGGAGGGGACAATAGGGCAAAAGTGGGGGACAATGGGGGGGAATGGGGGGACAATGGGGGAACAATAGGGGCAAAAGTGGGGGACAATGGGGGGCAATGTGGGGGTAATGGGGGGGTAATGAGAGGGGACAATGGGGGGAGAATAGGGGCAAAAGTGGGGGGCAATGGGGGGGAATGGGGGGACAATGGGGGAACAATAGGGGCAAAAGTGGGGGACAATGGGGGGCAAAGGGGGGGTAATGGGGGGGCAATGAGAGGGGACAATGGGGGACAATAGGGGCAAAAGTGGGGGACAATGGGGGGCAATGGGGGGGGAAGGGGGGGTAATGGGGGGCAATGGGGGGCAATGAGAGGGGACAGTGGGGGGGACAATAGGGGCAAAAGTGGGGGACAATGGGGGCCAATGGGGGGGTAATGGGGGGACAATGGGGGGAGAATAGGGGCAAAAGTGGGGGGCAATGGGGGGCAATGGGGGGTAATAAGGGGGCAATGGGGGCCAATGAGAGGGGACAATGGGGGAGACAATAGGGGCAAAAGAGGGGGACAATGTGGGGCAATGTGGGGGTAATGGGGGGGTAATGAGAGGGGACAATGGGGGGAGAATAGGGGCAAAAGTGGGGGGCAATGGGGGGGCAATGGGGGGTAATGGGAGGGCAATGAGAGGGGACAATGGAGGGGACAATAGGGGCAAAAGTGGGGGACAATGGGGGGCAATGAGGGGGTAATGGGGGGCAATGGGGGGCAATGGGGGTCCAGGGCACTGACCAGGGTGTGGGGCAGCACGGGGGGGTCCCTCCTGCTCGTGTCCCCGCTGCCCCCTGTGTCCCGGCGCTGCAGCACGTGAGGGGCCAGGCCCTGCTCCTGCTCCTGGGGGGCAGAGGTGGGGGCACCCCCGTGAGCAGGCACCTCCCATTGACACCCAGTGACACCCAGTGACACCCATTGACACCCAGTGACACCCAGTGACACCCATTGACACCCAATGACACCCATTGACACCCAGTGACACCCATTGACACCCAATGACACCCAACGACACCCAACGACACCCAATGACACCCATTGACACCCATTGACACCGACACCCCATGACACCCCATGACACCCAATGACACCCAAAGACACCCAACGACACCCAATGACACCCAATGAAACCCAATGACACCCATTGACACCCAATGACACCCATTGACACCCAGTGACACCCAATGACACCCAGTGACACCCAACGACACCCAATGACACCCATTGACACCCACTGACACCCAACGACACCCAATGACACCCAACGACACCCAATGACACCCATTGACACCCATTGACACCCATTGACACCCCATGACACCCCATGACACCCAATGACACCCAGTGACACCCAATGACACCCATTGACACCCAACAACACCCAATGACACCCAATGACACCCAATGACACCCAATGACACCCAATGACACCCAACGACACCCAATGACACCCAATGACACCCATTGACACCCAACGACACCCAACGACACCCATTGACACCCAATGACACCCAAGGACACCCAATGACACCCAACGTCCCCAATGACACCCAAGGACACCCAATGACATCTGGTGGCACCCAATGACACCCAGTGACACCAATGTCACCCAATGTCACCCATTCCCCACCCCCCATTTCGACACCCAATGACACCCCCCATTCCCCCATTCCCAACGATCACCCAATGACACCCATTGACACCATTCCCCCCATTCCCATGACACCCATTCCCACCCAATGACACCCAACGACACCCAATGACACCCAATGACACCCAACAACACCCAATGGCACCCAATGACACCCATTGACACCCAACGACACCCAATGACACCCAAGGACACCCAAGGACACCCAACGACACCCAATGACACCCAATGACACCCAATGACACCCAACGACACCCAACGACACCCAATGACACCCCCCCATCCCCATCCCCCATCTCCCCCATTCCCCCATTCCCATTCCCCCATCCCCCCATTCCTCCCATCCTCTCCCATTGACCCCCATTCCCCCACCCCCCCATTCCCCCATCCCCCCATCCCCCCCATACACCCCACATCTCCCCATTCCCATCCCCCCATCCCCCCCATCCCCATCCCCCCATTCCCCATCCCCCCATTTCCATCGCCCCATCCCCATCCCCTCCCCCACATCCCCCCATCCCCATCCCCCATTCCCATCCCCCATTCCCATATCCCCTCCCCCCCGTGCCCACCTCCGCCCCTCCCCCGTCCATGGGGTGGCTGCTGGAGCAGTTGGGGGGCCCCGAGTGCGCGGTGACGAGGAGCAGGGGGAGCCCCCGGTAGCGCAGGGGGCAGCGGAGCTCCAGGGAGCCCTGGCTGATGGAGCTGGGGCCCTCGTTCACCACCTGCCGCACCCGCACCCATGGAACAGAGCACCCATGGAACAGGGCACCCATGGCACCGGCACCCATGGCACAGGGATAGGGGCACCCATGGCACAGGGCACCCATGGGACACCCATGGAACGGGGCACCCATGGAACAGGGACAGGGGCACCCATGGAACAGAGCACCCATGGAACAGGGCACCCATGGCTGGGGGCACCCATGGCAGGGAGCACCCATGGAACAGGGCACCCATGGAACAGGGACAGGGGCACCCATGGCACCGGCACCCATGGAACGGAGCACCCATGGCACCGGCACCCATGGCACAGGGACAGGGGCACCCATGGGACAGGGCACCCATGGCACAGGGCACCCATGGGACAGGGACAGGGGCACCCATGGCAGGGGGACAGGGGCACCCATGGCACGGGGCACCCATGGCACGGGGACAGGGGCACCTGTGGCATGGGGCACCCAGTGTATAGGGACAGGGGCACCCATGGAACAGGGCACCCATGGCACGGGGACAGGGGCACCCATGGCTGGGGGCACCCATGGCACAGGGCACCCATGGCACGGGGCACCCATGGCTGGGAGCACCCATGGCTGGGAGCACCCATGGCACCGGCACCCATGGCATGGGGACACCCATGGAACGGGGCACCCATGGCAGGGAGCACCCATGGAACAGGGACAGGGGCACCCATGGCACCGGCACCCATGGAACAGGGCACCCATGGCACAGGGCACCCATGGCACAGGGACAGGGGCACCCATAGCAGAGAACACCCATGGCAGGGGCACCAATTGCACGGAGCACCCATGGCACGGGGACAGGGGCACCCATGGAACAGGGCACCCATGGAACAGGGACAGGGGCACCCATGGCACAGGGCACCCATGGAACGGGGCACCCAGTGTATAGGGACAGGGCACCCATTACATAGGGACAGGGGCACCCATGGCAGGGAGCACCCATGGCACGGGGACAGGGGCACCCATGGCACAGGGCACCCATGGCACAGGGACAAGGGCACCCATGGCAGGGGGACAGGGGCACCCATGGTATGGAGCACCCATGGCACGGAGCACCCATGGCACGGGGCACCCATGGCACGGGGACAGGGGCACCCATGGCACAGGGACAGGGGCACCCATGGCTGGGAGCACCCATGGCACGGGGCACCCATGGAACGGGGCACCCATGGCACTGGGCACCCGTGGCATGGGGCACCCAGTGTATAGGGACAGGGCACCCATTACATAGGGTCAGGGCACCCATTGCACGGGGCACCCATTGGGGTCAGGGCACCCATTGCACAGGGCACCCATTGGGGTTAGGGCACCCATTGGGGTCAGGGCACCCATTGCATGGGGTCAGGGGCACCCATTGGGGTCAGGGCACCCATTGGGGTCAGGGCACCCATTGCATGGGGTCAGGGGCACCCATTGGGGTCAGGGGCACCCATTGCACGGGGCACCCATTGGGGTCAGGGCACCCACTGCACAGGGATGGGGCACCCATTGCATGGGGTCAGAGGCACCCATTGGGGTCAGGGCACCCATTGCACAGGGATGGGGGACCCATTGCATGGGGTCAGGGGCACCCATTGGGGTCAGGGGCACCCATTGCACGGGGCACCCATTGGGGTCAGGGCACCCACTGCACAGGGATGGGGCACCCATTGCATGGGGTCAGGGCACCCATTGGGGTCAGGGGCACCCATTGGGGTCAGGGCACCCATTGCTGCCCCCACCTCATAGACGTGCTCCACGGGCGGCCCCAGGTCCTGCAGGCGCTGGGGGGGGCGCTCCGGAGGCCACCCCCCCTCGGGGACAGTGACAACATCGGGGCGGGAGACCCTGCGGGGGGGCAGCGCCCCACAGAGACCCATAGAGCACCCAATATACCCCATAGAGCACACCATACACCCCATAGCACCCCATACACCCCATAGCACCCCATAGCACCCGTACCATACACCCCATATACACCCCATACATAGCACCCCATACACCCCATACACCCCATAGCACCCCATACACCCCATAGCACCCCATAGCAACCCATACACCCCATAGCACCCCATAGCAACCCATACACCCCATACACCCCATACACCCCATACACCCCATAGCACCCCATAGCAACCCATAGCAACCCATACACCCCATACACCCCATAGCACCCCATAGCAACCCATACACCCCATAGCACCCCATAGCACCCCATAGCAACCCATACACCCCATAGCACCCCATAGCACCCCATAGCACCCCCCCATAGCACCCCATAGCAACCCATACACCCCATACACCCCATACACCCCATAGCAACCCATACACCCCATAGCAACCCATACACCCCATACACCCCATACACCCCATACACCCCATAGCAACCCATACACCCCATACACCCCATAGCACCCCATAGCACCCCATACACCCCATAGCACCCCATACACCCCATAGCACCCCATAGCACCCCATAGCAACCCATACACCCCATACACC